TTGTTAAAAAGGGTAGAAAGGAGGACCCTGGGAACTACTGACCTGTCTGCCTCACCTCTGTGCCTGGGAAGACAGTGGAACAGATCCTCCTAGAAGCTGTGCTAAGGCACATGGAGGACAGGGAGCTGATTCGAGACAGCCAGCATGGCTTCACCCAGGGTGAGTCCTGCCTCACCAACCTATTGGCCTTCTATGGTGGTGTGACTGCATCAGTGGACAAGGAAAGAGCTACGGATGGAATTCTGTAAGGCCTTTGACAGAGTTCCCCATAGCATCCTTCTCTCTAGATCGGAAAGATACGGATTTGATGGTGGACTGTTCAGTGCATGAAGAATTGGTGGGATGGTTGCATCCAGAGGGTTATGGTCAACGGCTTGATGTCCAGATGGAGACTGGTGACAAGTGGTATCCCTCAGAGGTCCAGTACTGTTTAATATCTTTGTCAATGACACATACAGTGGTATCAGGTGCACCCTCAGCAAGTTTGCAGATGACACCAAGGTGAGTGATGCAGTTGACACACCAGAAGGACAGGATGCTGTCCAGAGGGACCTGGACAAGCTCGAGAAGTGGGCCTGTGTGAACCTCATGAGGTTCAACAAGCCAAGTGCAGGGTCCTGCAGCTGGTTTGGGACAGCCCCTGCTACCAATACAAGCTGGAGGATGAAGGGACTGAGAGCAGCCCTGCTGAGAAGGACTTGGGGGATGGATGAAAAGCTGGACATGAGCCACCAGTGTGCACTCGCAGCCCAAAATGCCAGCCGTATCCTGGGCTGCATCAAGAGAAGCGTGGCCAGCAGGTCAAGGGAGGCGATTCTGCCCCTCTACTCTGCTCTGGTGAGACCCCACCTGGAGTGCTGCATCCAGCTCTGGGGCCCTCAGCACGAGAGAGACATGGAACTGTTGGAGCGGGTCCAGAGGGCTGGAGCATCTCTCCTATGAGGAAAGGCTGAGAGAGTTGGGCTTGTTCAGCCTGGAGGGGAGAAGGCTGCGGGGAGGCCTTATTGCAGCCTTTCAGTACTTAAAGGGGGCTTATAGGAAAGATGGGGACAAACTTTTTAGCAGGGCCTGTTGTGATAGGGCAAGGGGTGCTGGCTTTAAACTAAAAGACAGTAGACTTAGACTAGATGCAAGGAAGAAATTTTTTATGATGACGGTGGTGAAACACTGGAATAGGTTGCCCAGAGAGGTGGTAGATGTCCCACCCCTGGAAACATTCAAGGTCAGGCTGGATGGGGCTCTGAGAAACCTGATCCAGTTGAAGATGTCCCTGCTCACTGCGGGGGGGTTGGACTAGATGACAGACCTCTAAAGGTCCCTTCCAAACCAAACTATTCTATGATTCTGGAATTATTAGTTCTTCGGAACATAGTTTGGTGGAATATCTGTCTGGGCCAGTGTGAGGGGGAGAAGCTCTGTCGATTCCATTAAATTACAGGAAAAATTAAACGTCTTCAGAGGTCACATTCCTTCGTTAATGCTGTGTAGTGCTAGAATGCGACAAAGCTCTGCTAACGCCATGCAGCATGGGGGGATGCTGTCAGATGGCTGAGTTTCATTATCTGGAGACTGAGATATGTGTCAAGGCTGCAAGAGGTAATCATTAGGTCATTCAGCATGCAGTAGCTAGGATCCTCTTGCTGTTAAGCCATAGGTGAATCTGAAAAGGGAGCAAGCTGATTTAAAGCAGGGTTTGCACTCTTTTGAAGCAGGGGTTAGCTCCAGAGTGTAAGGCCAGCTTTAACTAATGGCCTCTCTCTGGCTTAGCACTACAGCTTGTGGGCTGGCTTTATAATGCCACCTCATGAGGCAAGAGCAATGAACTGCTTGTGCAAACTTGGTGGCCTCCGAGATTAGTCATATCAGTGCTAGAACATTGTCTTTCAAGGCTACAAAAAAAGCTGAGTCCTGCAGTATCAAGAATGCTGCCACCGAGGAAGTCTCTCTGCTTCGTCAGTGGTTCATTTTCTCTTCCAAATGCATCAGCTGGCAGCAAAGAACATTTATAGATCAGTTTTGTAAGATTATTTGAAATTCATGAGCAAAACTGATCTCATTTTCCCCGTTGCGTTAGGTCATTGAAGTGCGTATTTGTTCTGAATTTGTAATATTGGGAGGGGACAGTCTGAAAAAGGATTTTTTTCAGGAAAATGGGATGATGTTTGTTTTCCTGCTG